TATATATATAGGTGTTTAAAGATACAATTTCAAAATTAAGAAATTTGTTTTAAGATTTCAAAATCAAGTCATAATTAAAAATATTTTATTAATTAAACATATTAAGGCAACAATATTATATAATTTATAGTCATAGTAATGTACTAGATCAGAGGTCATAGTCGCAAATTATAAATTTTATATGTTACAATTTATTTATCGATAAAAAATTATCAAATTAATTAGTTAAATATTATTTTTCGATCACAAATCACAAAATTTATAATTTATTTATCGATCACAAATCATTAAATAATAGGTCACGTATTATTTCTCAATCATGAATCACAAATTTTATTGGTCATAAATTATTTCTTGATCGCAAATAATCAAATCAACTAGTCATAAGTTATTTTTCATTTACAAAGTATCAAATTAATTAATCACAATTTGAAAAAATGTGGGTCACAATTACAAATTTAGTACCAATCTTATATTTTTTGTGTCATATATTATTTATTGATTATAACTTATCTATTTTATCGTCACAAAAAATTAATCAATTTTTTGTTCAAAATCATCCAAATTATTAGTCACAAACACTCTTCACTCCACCCCATTCCACCACAACCTAAACCAACCCAACACAACCTCATCCACCACCAACATCAATCGAAATCGCATCATCTCACCACCATCGCTAGTACCACCACCACGTCGCCACCCTACCTGTACTACCACTATTGCTAGTACCACCTCAACACAGCTAGTAGCACCGCCATCACCATCATTTGTAAACTGCCCACAAAAAACCATCCACAATCGCGAACCAACCATAAACCACGAATTAGAAAACCACCAACAAACTCCAATCATAGCGACAAGCAGTGGGGCTCATAACATCACTCGCAACGATGTGAGCATTGCAGTGACACTCGTACATTGTGGATTGGCGCGCTCACATCGAAAAGAGAAGAGAAGAAGTCAACGTTCACACCGGAGAGAAAGGAAAAAAGGCCGCATAGTGGTCATGATTGGCGATTGGAGAGAAGGGATATAACCGAGAGATGGAAGAGGGAAGAGATGAAGAGACATGAAAATGATTAAGGGTTTGGATGGGGTGGGTGGAGTGGTTGGGTATGCAAATTAATTATCCTATCCCACATATATAAAAGAGTCGAACATTGTGCTGGACACGTGTCGCGATTTCCTTTCGTCAACATCTTTTTTTTCCTTTTCTACGATTCACATTTTGGCACTATCTCTTCATTCTGGTGAAGAAAACTTCTGCTCTATCCATAGTGATTACCCAAAAAAAAAAACCGCTCTAAACGGGTGGGATGGGATGGGATGGGGCGGAGCGAGACGGGAGGCCCCGTTATGGGGGTGGGGTGGGAATGCCCCGCCTTGAACCCGCTCCGTGAAAAGAAAAAAAAATTAGAAATTCTGAAATTTTATTAAAAGATTCATTAAATAATGTCAACCTATTTAATAGAGTTTCTAAATTTTCTTATTAGAAGATTCATTAAATGGGTTCATAGAACCTATTGTGTTGGTGCAGTTTCAACATGAAAAAATTTTGATCTAAGCACTTGATTGTTGCAAGATCACGCCAAGCAATTTGGCAAAGTTCAAAACTTCCAAGAAATGTGCGAAAAATTAGGATTTTTGAACACGTACCAACTATCAAACTCTTTTGATTAAATTAAAAGAATTTATATTTTATTCTCTAGTAATAACATTACTCAAAATTTTGAAAATGTCAAAAAAAAAAAAATAAAAAAAAATTTAAACGGTGTAGCAAATGGGGCAAGTCGCCGCCCCGTCGCGTCTAAGATGGGGCGGGGTTTGGACGAGGAACCATCCCTCTCTCTCCACCACCGAAGAATACGCAAGGACCAGGATTACGATTGGGACCTTGAACGTAACAAACGTTCCCGTTCTCGATCTTCGCGCTTCACTTAAATTCCAGAACCCTTATAGATTTTTTTTTTTTTTTGCTGGTTTGATTATGGATACAGATAGGAGAAGAGGAATCTTTCAAGTCTGGGTCCATCTGATTCGAGCGTGATGGTAGTATGAACCAGTAAAAGGTATGTTGTAACTGGAGACAAGGAAAGTCTCTTTGCACTGCGCGGAGGAGCCCCGCTTGAAACTTTACTCTCCTCCAAGTCTTGCCACACTTAAAATCGACTATCGGTCTCATGCAAACCCATTATACTGGTCGTCTGATTAGCTTGAACAGCACTTCCATCATATTTTCCCTATTGTTTAGACATATATCACGTAGGTTTGTTTTATAAGTTTCTTGAACCTATTCTTTGTGGTTTTTTTGGGAAAAAATCAATACTTTCATGTCAAGAGCTGAATATCATTTTCCTGTCTTTAATCCCTTTTCAGTTAAAATTATTGGATTATTATGATTTCCTTGAATTGATTTCTTTAATTTGGGAGAACAATACTGGAGATACGGCATAGGCAGAGTCGGTTCTGCTGCTCATCCTCCTCCTCTTCTTCCATCATCCACTGATTGAGATTTATTATTCATTTTTTGTCATCAGAAATTCTAAAGCAAAATGACATTTCTAGAATCCTACTCTTGTGTACTTTATGATCTTTCCCCTAGCTTTTCTATAATAATTTTTTACCTCTTCTCATTCTGCCTACACTTGCAGTTTGAAGTTTGAACTTTCTTTCTTCTGTTCCTTTTATTTGTGTTTCTTCCTATTGGGACTTTTATCCATACAGGAGGAGAAGCCTCATTCCTTGTAAATTGAAGACCATCCCATGACAAGCTGATATCTCATACTTCCATCTTTGAATATTAGAAATTCTTATTTTGTTTCTTAAGATGTTAAAACTTCAATTTTGTGCCATTGTAGCTTGATCATGCATTTGAACTGACTTTTGCACAAAAAATAACAGTTATTATAATGGCACATGTTGGTTCCATATTTCTTTTTTTTTTCCCCTTAATTTATTGGAGCATTGATTGGAGTTTATACTTGAAAGCAAATTACAATACAAAAGAAGAGGAAAGGTAGATTGCATTTAGCCTATATAAGTGTAACATATAAGCTGTATAAGATAGTTATTCAGCCTTAAGCATCAAGAATTTACTTTCTATTGAAAATTTTTTAGCAGTGGCTTCACTGTATCTTAGATCTGCATTACGTTATACTTTTCCATACTTGAAAGATTTTTGAATAATTATCAAGCACTCAATGTTATGATATTTAGGTAGAATAAGGTCTTTGAACACTATTGATGGTAAACATGATGGTCTTATCTCTTCCTAGCTTTGTGTGATGCATAGAAATTGGAAAAGAAATTTCATCACAGCAGCTTGAACTTATAATAATCCACACTTGAGAAAGCAACTAATTCTTTTGATGAAGCCAACAAGCTTAAACAAAGTGAATTAGCCACATTGTATAAGGTTGTAATTCTACGGACATGTATAATCTACACTATTCTAGAAAATTTAAAATGTTATCATAAATATTGATGTCTAAGCTAAACACTTTTGTTCTTTCAGGGAGTTTTGCAAGATGGAAGAAATATTGCTGTAAAGAGGCTTTTCTTTAACAAAAGCCATAGAGCAGTTGATTTCTATGACGAAGGTAAAATTATCCTCTTCAAACCTACTATATGTGTGTGTACATAGTGTCTATATAGCTTAGAAAATCAAGGTAATATGACAATGAATCTACACTTGCCATATATTTTTCTTTAAATTTATGGAAAATTTGTAGTTAATTGATTTGATAACTGACTCCAAAAGGTACTTCCTTCCATGACGTCCACTAGAATTCAAAAAGCATTTGAGAGGATGAAGACAAAGAAGAGGAGGAGGTATATTAGATTATAGCTTAGAAAATCAAGGTAATATGACAATGAATCTACACTTGCCATATATTTTTCTTTAAATTTATGGAAAATTTGTAGTTAATTGATTTGAGAACTGACTCCAAAAGGTACTTCCTTCCATGACGTCCACTAGCAATTCAAAAAGCATTTGAGAGGATGAAGACAAAGAAGAGGAGGAGGTATATTAGATTTCTATAGCCAAATAATTGGGCTTTTAGATCAAAAGACTGTTCGTTGATTTCATGTTTTTTTATGATAATATATTAGCATCTTGCACTATTGGATGATGTTACTCTAGCCTCTTCGAGAGAAATGTATGTGATTGGAATCTAAAGGAAAATTGAATATAAAGAACTGATTTCTTAATCTGAATAAAAGATTATAGGAATGGAACGAATACAAGACTCTTCTCTCAACTCAATTTTTGCCTGCCTTAACCGACTCCATTTCCTTCTTATTTAAAGCCTCTCATTAACTACTTTTCCCTCCTATTTGTTGCGTAACAGAATGCTGTTAGCCTACTTTCTTCCTTCCAGTTGCTTCCTGTTTCTTCTAGAATATGTCACCCGGATAGGAGGCCTATCATTACCCCCGGCTGCAAGTACCACCTTGTCCTCAAGGTGAAAGTCAGGAAAAGATTGACCGATAGTTTTGACTGATTCCCGTGAAGCTTCTGAGGCTAGTAAGTCCTTCCATTTAATCAGAACTTCCTTATTTGTTTCTTGTCCTTTCCTGGTCTGTCGGACTTCTAGTACTTGATCAGGTTCCACTACCCATTCCAGATAGGCATCCAATTGTGGAGGAAGTTGTTGACTAGCTATTGCTGGACCAAGTGCTTTCTTGAGCTTCGAAGCATGAAAGACAGGGTGAATTGTAGCTGATGGTGGAAGCTCGAGATGATAAACAACTGGTCCTACTCGCTTGATGACTTTATAAGGGTCGAAGTACCGAGGCCCCGACTTTTCGTTGGATTTCTTAGATAATGATCGAAGGCGATAAGGTCGAAGCTTTACATATACCAGGTCGCCTTCCTCAAACTGGATGTCTCTTCGATGTTGATCCACAGTTTTCTTCATCCTTGCTTGAGCCCGAAGAAGGTGGGCCTTCAATTCATCAAGTTTGTTGTCTCTCTCTGAAAGTTGCTACTCAACTAAGGCTACACCTGTATTTTGGGTGCCATATCGCATTAATGGGAAAGGTTCTCTCCCGTAGATGGCACGGAAACGAGTAGTGTTGGTAGAAGCATGGAAAGTGGTGTTGTACCAATATTCGGCCCATGGCAGCGACTTGTGCCAACTTTGGGGTTTATCATAAGCAAAACATCGTAAGTACACTTCCACACACTTGTTAACTACCCCCGTCTACCCATCCGTTTGCAGATGGTAGGCCGTGCTTCTTCGTAAGAAGGTTTCTTGTAGTCGGAACAACTCAGTCCAAAAATGGCTTAAGAAGACTTTATCACGATCTGAGACAATGGAGCGGGGGATCCCATGGAGTCTCACTACCTCCTTTACAAAAATAGTAGCCACCCTCGATGCTGTGAAAGGATGTTTAAGGGCCACAAAATGTGCATACTTACTGAGACGATCTACCACTACCAATAAGGAATCAAAACCCCAGACTTTGGCAGTCCCTCGATGAAGTCCATGGATATATCTTCCCAAACCAAGTGAGGGATGGGTAGGGGTTTCAGGAGGCCTGCGGGTGAGAGGTCCATATTTTTGTTCAATTGACATACGGGACACTCTTCCACAAATTTCTGTATGTCCCTTTTCATCCCAGTCCAATACAAATCCCCTGCTATCCTCTTGTATGTCCGCAAAAAATCGGAATGCCCTCCTACTGAGCTGTTATGAAACTCCAGTAGCAAGGTAGGAATTAAAGTAGAAGAATGAGGAAGGATCAGGCGTCCCTTGTACAGTAACCTACCTTGATTGAGCGTGTATCTTGGATGAGAATCCGAATCATATAGCAGGTCCTTTTTAATCTGGGACAGCTGTGGGTCCTTGTCCACTTGTTCGGCTATCAATTGCACATCCAGCGCCAGAGAGAATGTGATTGCCGCTAACTCAACTGTGGTCGAGATGTGGGACAGGGCATCAGCAACCTTGTTTTCAAGCCCAAGCCGGTATTGGATTTCAAATTCGTACCCCATCAACTTAGTCAACAACTGCTAGAATTCCCCGGGCACAATCCTCTGTTCTAACAAGTACTTCAGGCTGCGTTGATCTGTTCGAACTATAAACCGGTGTCCTAGTAAATAATGTCTCCACTTCTGTATTGTGAGCACTATAGCCATCAATTCCTTTTCATAAACTGACTTTTGTTGAGCTCTACTAGACAATACTTGGCTGTAGTAAGCAATCGATTTTTGGTCCTGTGTCAGTACCACCCCCAAACCATACCTCGAAGCATCAGTTTCCAACACGAAGACTTTCGAGAAATTAGGTAATGCAAGGACTGGGACTATTGTCATGGCTGTCTTCAGCCGTTGGAAAGCTGCTTCGGTCTCTGGTGACCACACAAAGGCATCTTTTTTAAGCAACTGTGTGAGTGGCAAGGATATCTTTCCATATCCTGCGACGAAGCGACAGTAGTAGCCTGTTAGCCCCAAGAACCCTCGCAGCTCTCTGAGGTTCTGGGGTGAAGGCCATTGCACCATAGCCTCACCGCTGACACCAAATGGCCCAAGTACTCAACTTGCAGTTGACTAAACGAACACTTCTTGGCGTTGGCGTACAATTGGTTTTCTGATAATGTCTGAAACACTATTTCTAAGTGCTGCTCATGGGCTGCTAGGTCTTTTTTGTACACCAGTATATCGTCAAAAAATACCAATACAATGATTTAAACACCAAAGCACAATTGCAAATACTAAAAACTTGAAGAACATAAAGAATGAATATGAATAGGCATTTAAAGACTTTGATCTTTGATTTTGGAAGTAATATGAAACCTTGATGTTTTGTGATATTTTGCCTTCAATATGGATCAACTATTTATAGGTATAAGCCACATGTACGAAATGGTGCCAAAATATAACCCAAAAGTCACCAAAATTGAACTTACAATGGCCAAAAACCAAACTCAAATTGTCGGATTTTTTGTACCATACGACCGCATGGTACAAATCCATGCGGTCTCATAGTTAAACTCAAACCGGGCCTCTAAGTTTCAATAGGTCCTTGTGCGACCGCAAGATTATATGCATGTGCAGTCGCACAGGCCACACTCGGGGCCACCATTTTCAATTTCATTTTAACTTCTACTTCCATTGATTTATTGATGTTGAACAACAATTCTCAACATGGATAACATTTTTATGGCAAATTGATCCTTTTTTTTCTTATGGACTCCCAATTTTTTCTTTATATCTTGTGCATCAACTAATCTATTTTCTCAAAAATGACGAAATGACTTAATACCATATCTTAACTTGAACTTCTCAAGTTAAGATTGGGAAAAGTTAAATTCTAAAGTCTCTATAGCATTTAATATTTTCGTAGTCTCTCTTGCCTTTTCCAAATTTGGTCTCATGTTATATTTACATGATCTTGGTATTGAAGAAACTACTCATAAACAACATTCTTCATGTCTAAAAGGTTTGATGGTCTATGCCGTTTAGCATGATCACCTTTTTCTAAAAGTTAAACAAAAGATACTACGATAATTGATTGGGCGTATTTGATATTTTATTTTGACTAACTTTCAAGTGAATTTTTAGAAACATTTTGTTTCAATTCTTTTCTTGTACACATGGGATGCTCTTTACAATACTTGTGTAAGAATGTAATGGGATGAATTGAGTACTTTTTTAAAACCCTAAAATTTTAATAGGGATAAATTTAGATTAGAATATATGATGGATGCAAATAGCGGCTCCCATATTTTAATATTTTCCCTGCCCTCCCCAAGCAGTTCCTCCCCTTGCAACTCCTAATGATAAACAAAAAGAAAAGATCACGATACAACATTACCTCACTAATAATTGAAATTAAATTATAAAATTAGGCTAAATTGTTCATTTTAATTAAAGAAATTAGCCACACACCGTCTTGCATAAACACAAATCAATGTTTAATTAAAATACACAGAATTGTAACCAATCATTAATTCCTACCACCTATTGTAGTGTGACATGTCACCCGAGTACTAAGCATAAGCGAAGTATCGGTACTTAGGAGATATGCTCTATTGGAAATTTACTAGTTCGACTATAATATCACTTAGAGGTGAGTGAATAGGTGAAGAATGCAGAATTAAAATTACCAATTAAAAATAACAAATCACTTTTTAATTGTTTAAGATGTTTAATCAATCAAGTTAATTCTATCCTATGTTGAACTACCACAATAGTAAATAAAACAGTAAATAACGCAAGAATTGTTGACTTAAAAATCCTTCAGAGGATTAAAAACTCTGGGACCAAGCTAATAACTTTCACTATAGATAATAAGAACTTACAGTATTATCCAGCCTAGATAACTCATAGACTCGCTGATTTAATTCTTGCAATTTTCTAGAACTGGCGGAACGTGCTTCACTCACACTTGCTCCCGATCTACTAAAATTGTTTATCTCGTGTGGATCACCAAGAACGCATTATTCTTATACTCTTTTTGTGATTCTGGTGCAACCTCCCTTAATTTTCAACAACCTCTGAAAGTTATTGAGGTGGTACTTGATTATATTTAGGAAGTGTATGTTTTTTATTATATGATTTTTAATGTTTTTTCAAACTTGGGGTTAATTGATTTCAAGATGTCGTTGTTTGATCTCTAAATGATCTTACGAATATAGAAACTAATGATTAACCACACTCTGGATGAAATAGAGGTTGGATATGTATAGTTTGGAGAGTTTGGAATTGTTTAGGATTAGAAAACAGATTAAACTTGTAAACTAGGTTTTTGCTGGATAATTCACCGTTCGAGCGACAATTGAGTGACAAATTTTTATTGATTTTGTAATGCGAGCGCTAGAGCGAGACTTGGGCAATAGGCTAGCCAAAGTGCGATGCCAATTTTCCTTTTCCCATTATTGATCTCCAAGACTCCCTATCCAACTAAACAACTAACCAATTAATTTACTTGACTTTTACAACTCTTCTGTAACAATAATTTTGTCTCAAGAATAGCCAATACGAATTAAAATCTAACACTATTAATATACATATTTTGAAAATGAAAGAGGAAGAAAAACTAAGAACAACGTTGAATCCATTTACTTGAACTCCAAGAATTTGCCCCAAGCTTAATCTTCCTTTTCTTCCTTCTTCCGGCTTTTTTTTCAAACCCTAGGTAGTTGAATTGTACATATGTTCTATGTTTTGAACATAAAATGTAGAATTCTCTATAAATTAAGCAATCATGCTACAAGTACAAAATTTTTTGACAGAAAATTCTTACATACAACACATGACACGACAAGTGAACATTGCTTTCGTGTTTATTTATCACTCTAAGTCTCTGACAATATATTTTCTCCGCAAATTTTCAGCTTTCCTTGCAGTCTGATATCAAAACCAATGAAGTATCCCAGCCTGATAAGCATGTGTCGAATAAGGTAAGTCAGACAATGTTGCGATCGAAAGACTGTTACTAATGCTTCGTATGTTTAATGCAGGGCTCGGAGGAGAATGTACCTGGTTCTTTCCAACCTGAATTCTTGGTAAGAAACTACGTTTTAATTCAAAGTTTAAATACGTTGAAACTTTTTTTTTTTTAAAGTTTTAAACTTTTACAACAAATATTATTTTTCAATTTTGATTTTAATATAAAATTAAATCTTATAATTTAGGTTGTAACTTAAGAATAAAAGTTTCAACCTTTCAAATTAAAAACCTTTTAATTTTTAGTTTTAACATAAAATTAAAATTCCATGATACATATTATAACTTACGTTTAAATGGTATAAATGTGTGGGTTGAAATTTTACCTATAAAAGATGATTGGATTTCATTGTTGTACATATCTTATAACAACATGAAAATTATCACCCTATGGTCGGGCTCATAGAAGGAGAGTCATATAAGTTTTATCTTGGACCTGCGTAGTATCGAAAGAACTCGCACAAAGGGAAGGTAACACGGCTTTAAGATATGGTCTTTGATATGACTCCCAAGGCTTATTTTTCTATCTTTCTTCTTATTTTTATATTATTATTAAATTATGTTTATATCATTCAATTGATTATACTAATAGATAAAAATCTACACAAAAATCACCATTTTTTCTCGACAATCTAAAGTTGTGTTACTTCCCCTTCGTGCAGATTTTTTCAACACTATACTGCTCCAAAATAAAACTCATGTTGCTCATCTTCTATGGGCACGATCATAGAAAGATAAGTGAACAAACCTCTCATCGAGTTGTGAAAATAGTATAGTTTAAAATTGTAAATAATATTTTTGGATTCAATCATCTCAAGTTGTGTTTTTCTAAATGTATCTCAAATTGTGATTTTCATGTTGTGTCCAAACTGTAAAATCTCCTCCCTTTTTAAAGTGTACAATTTAAACCCACACTAATGAAAATTAATCAATTCATAACCTCCATTCAAATATTTAAGTGTATGTTATATTATAAATTAAGATTTTAATTAAACTAAAACTGAAAATTAAAAATATAATAATTTTGAAAGATGAAACTTATTATAATTTCCAACAAAATATCTGTTTAATTCAGAAAACAATGAGAACTTAACTTAAAATGCAGAAATGTCATGCGAAGCCAAATCAATGTGGAGGTCAGATGAGAGTACCAGAAACAGAAGGATGGTCGAAAAACAGGTAGCTTTAAAACCATGAATTGACAAAAGATCTAAAAGCAAAATGAAAGCCTTTTGATCTTTAGAATAATTTTTATTTCTGAAGAAATTGTTTATTCCTCTATGGCTTAATATTGTTTTCAAAGCTGATGTGTCTAGTGTTGGGAAAAAAGAAGAAGAAAAGTTCACTTTATTTTCTGAATCTAACCCCAATGTCGAACTGTAATAGACGCTTGGGAATCAGCTGAAATATTACGAGCTTAGTCAGTCCTTTTTTTTTTTTTTTTATCGAGCATCAGAGGTTGTTGAACTTTGGAATCCCACTTCTATTCTGGCAATATGAAGCGTCTTCAGTACTCCAATCCCTTTACAATGAGTTGTATTCTTGTCTATCTTTGGTGAAAATTCCTCATAAGAAATAAAAACAAAAGCAGATGACGAATCAAATGAGCCCTTAGTAATATCCATAGATTTTTAGGTTTCATGTTTTACGTACAATTTTGTCTTGTTTGAATTATTTGTATCTATATTCAAATGTAGCTGATAAACTAGAAATGCAATAGTTGAGCGTAAATTGTTGAATTTTGTTGTATTATCAAGGTAGGGAACCCCTAACGACATTCACAGTAGGTGGGTCCCATGCAAGACCCACTTGTATAAAAATTTACCCCGAACCCCACCCGTCCCCCCATATTGTGAGTGCTCGGTAGGGGTTCTAGCCCTTTACCGCAAGCTTTTCTCTAAATTGTTTCATAGTTTTCCTCTAATAATCCATACATACCTATGAGCATGTTAAATTCAATGACAATAAAAGTCACAAGTAATATATCATTAAAGGTCACAAGTTTTGCGGTGCTTCTTGAAGCTTAACGGGAAAACAAAATGAGGTCACAATGAAGAACCAATTTCTTTCACAAATCCCTGACAACAGATCAGTCCATCATATTAGGGACACATAAAAATCAAATTTATTTTGTCATATCTTGAGAATTGTAGAATATGATTTTATTTTGATGTCAGGTGCTGTCATAAGCGGTCACATGGGATCCCAAGCTGTTAAAGCATTGTGATCACATGGCTATGACCCTTGACCGAATTGCGATTCATCAATTAGAACTTTGTTTTTTCATAATAGAATATTGCAATGGCATGCTATGAATTTTGATCCTTCACAAATAACATAAATTTAGATCCATTTTCTACTGTAATTCTATTTCAAGATATACTATTAAAATTTCAATTAAATTTAGAGCTAATAAAATATTGTTAGTACATGTGTAAAGATCCATCGCTAAAAACCTGAAGCAACTGAAACTTCCAATAAATTATTCCTTCCAAATCACTATCAATGGTAAAAAAAATTAGAGTATCAAAAAAAAAATATATCATATATTTTTAGTGAATGTCAAATTGTTGGAAAAATGGGTTGAGTGGCTAACTTTGGCACAAAATTTGAATAGGACCCGGTTGTTTATTTTGAAAGTTCAAGATTGATTTGTGTTCTCCGTCATGGGAACATTGAAATCGCGTATTTACTTGCCAAAAATTATATTTGAGTGAATGAGAAATTGGAACTTAAAGTATGCGAATTAAAATAAGTTTATGTTGTTAGAGGGAAATCATTTAATATTATCCCACATGGGAAAATTATAAAAATAAATATCACCTCAAATAGGATTGCACTTTGGAATATTGTGATTATGTGTAGTATAGAGGCTCTCTCTACATGCGCAAGCAGGGGGCAAATCGAACCGAAATAAGCTTTAGATGTGGAAATTAGCCCCTTAAAAGAGCCTATGTTTTGCTAATTTTTTCCTCCAACTAATTGTTTGAATTCCAAGACTGTGGAAACTCCTATATTCATTGTCATTACAATACAAGTTAAAGACATTCATGGGTTAAGACTATATAATCAACCTGATTTCTCACAATTCTATGCAAGAAGAAAAAACAAGAGAAAAGTATACAACATATAGCTTCTGCACATATTTACAGAACACAGTTTTCTGCATATTTTAGTCTGCATACTACATAGTCACACAGTTGGTGATATTGTTCAGACACAAATTCAGTTCTATAGAGTAGTATTTGAGGTGCTCAAATCCTATAGTTTATCCGTTGTATCCGGAGAGACAGACGTCCAATTTAATCCTCATGCATCTACAGTAAGGGGACGAATATGTTTTAAGGAAACTATGCTCACATAAGCCTCGGCTAAAAAAAATTTCTGGTTAATTAGTTTACTTGTTATGTTTATTAAAATTTATTTGCTATATTTTGTAAAGTTCACTGCATATACCGTATATGCAAGACCAGTTATGCAATTACAGTAAGTTGTTGTATATACAGTATGCTGTTGCAAATACGGTATGCTATTGTAAATACTGTAAGCTTAAATACGATAAACTACAATTACGATAAGCTACATATACGATATTCGTAAATTTGGTATCTAAATTGCATATACAGTATGTGTTAATTCGGTATTCATTCTCAACCATTCCATCCGGTATATTTAGTCCAACAAACTTAAAATTGATTTAAAGGAAAAAAAATTAGTTTCTTATATTGTTAATTTTGGAAACTAATTTTTGTTTGTCTTTCAGAAATGGTAACCAAATCAACCAACATAGATGTGTCCCAAATTGTTGCTACTGGAAATCAGCTTGTTGGCTCTACTATGGCTTAAGGGCCAAAGTTCAGTTGTAGCTCAGACCGTGGCTAAATTGCCAAGTCATGCTATGAGTCAAACTACGGCTCCAACAACCGGTCATACTGCTACTGTTTTGGTTAATCATGGAGAAAAAATGAAGAAATTCAATGGCTTGAATTTCAAGGGTGGCGACAGAAAATACTATTTTACCTTACCACCTTAAATCTTGCAAGATTCTTGACTAAAACTGCCCCAAAACTCCACGAGGCTCAGGGAGATATTCAAGATATCAGTGCGATTACTATGCAGAAATTACATTATGAATAGCTTAACAAATTCACTATACAAACTGTATAGTACTTTGAAAACTGTTGAGGAGCAATGTGAGTCATTGGATCGAAAATATAAGACTGAAGATGCCAGGGCCAAGAAATTCATTGTTCGTCGATTTTTGAATTACAAGATGGTGGACTCCAAAACAGTAATCAATCAAGTGCAAGAACTCCAAGTGATTTTTCACGAGATTCATGCTGAATGGATGATTTTAAGTGAAACCTTACAAGTGGCTGCAATTATTTAAAAATTGTCTTCGGCATGAAAAGATTTCAAGAATTACCTTAAGCAGAATCGAAAGGAAATGAACATCGAAGAATTGATTTTGAGATTTCTAATTAAAGAAGACAACATAATTTCAGAAAAGAAGGGGTTCAATTCTATTGTGGCTAAAGCCAATGTTGTTGAACACTATCAAAGTTCTAAGATTTTAAAGAACAAGTCTAGGACATTTGGTGGCAAAGGTACTAAGCTGGGATCGAAATGAGGCATTTCTAAGAAGAAATTTCAAGGAAAATGCTTCAATTGTGACATGGTAGACCACAAGTCTTCGAAGTGCAGATTGATAAAGAAGAAGAATAAGAAGCAAATGTGGTTGACTACGTGGCACATGATGTGTCAAAAGTGAATCTCGGAACAGTCATTTCTGAAGTAAACGTGGTGGGTTCTAACCCAAAAGAGTGATGGATTGACACCGGTGTTACACGGTATGTGTACTCTGATAAAGAGTTGTTTGCTGCGTTCGAAACAATTAAAAATAGAGAGAAGTTATTCATGAAAAATTTAGCAACTTTTGAAATTAAGGGTCAAGGAAAGGTGATTTTGAAGATGATCTCGGGAAATGAGCTGACTTTTAACAATGTGCTATATGTACGAAAAATTCGCAAGAATCTTGTGTACGGATCACTTTTGAATAAGCATAATTTTGGCATTGTTGTTTAGTTATACAAAGTTATTTTGTCAAAAGGTGGAATGTTTGTTGAAAAAGGTTATATTTTCGATGATATGTTTAAATTGAATGTAATGGTTGTTAAACAAAAAAAAAATGAATAAGCAAATTCTTCTGCTTAGTTGCTTGACTCTTCCAACTTATGGCATGGAAGACTAAAACATGTTAACTATAATACTTTGCGTAGACTAGTTGACTTGAATTGCAGACTCACATTCCACATTGATTCCAACCATAAGTGCGAAACTTGTGTTGAAACAAAATTTACAAGGTCATCATTTAAATCAATTAAACAGAATACGGAACCACATGATTTAATTCACAGCAACGTATGTGATTTAAAAATTATACAAACAAGAGGTGGCAACAAATATTTCATTACTTTTTCGACGATAGCACAAAATATTGTTATGTGTATCTGCTTAAAAGCAATGACGAAGACATAAATAAATTTGTTCTCTATAAGAATGAAGTTGAATATAAAGCACCATTTGATGAATTCTGTACACAACATGGGATCATACATGAAACCACTGCATCTTATTTTCCGCAACAAAATGGTGTTGTTAAACGGAAAAATCGCACCTTAAAAAAATGATGAGTGCAATGTTAGTAAGTTCTGGACTGCCTTAGAACATGTGGGGAGGAAGCTGTGTTGTCAGCAAATTATCTTTTAAATAAGGCGCCCCGAAAGAAAATTGAAAAGACTTCTTATGAGTTATAAAAAAAAGAAAGTATTCCTATAAATACTTACGAGTATGGAAGTGTCTTACTAAAGTGACTGTTCCAACACCAAAGAAAGTAAAGATAGGTCCAAAAATAGTAGATTGCATCTTCATTGACTATGCACATAATAGTAGTACTTATTGATTTCTTGTGTATGGCTCTAAAAATCCCAGATATACAAAGAAACACGATATTAGAATCAAGAAATCCTTCATTCTTTGAACTTGTATTTCCACACAAGTTCAAAGAGGAAGCAAGCTTTTCTAAACGAACATATGAGACTATGATTGAAAATAGTCATGACCATGAACTAGAAGAGGAGATTGAGGTTAGACTTAGCAAATAGGAAAGGACAGAAAAATCTTATGGTCCCGATTTTCAGATCTATATGTTAGAAAATGAACCTTAAAGTTATCGAAAAGATGTGAATTCTTTAAAAAGACCTCAATGGAAAGATGTCATTAAAAGTAACATAGATTCCATACTACAAAATCATACATGGGAGCTAGTGGATCTTCCTCCAAGAAGCAAAATATTAGGCTACAAATGGATTTTCAAAAGGAAAATGAAAGTAGGTAAAACTATCGAAATTTATAAAGCCAGATTAGTAATAAAACATTTCAAACAAAAGGAATGTCTCGATTACTTTGATACGTATTTTTCAGTGACAAGAATAATATCTATTAGAATGATAC